CACCAGCATTGGAGAACGATTGTGTGATGGGGTTAAGAGTTAGATGCAACTCTTAAAAACTCGTACAAAGACATTTATCTGTCATAATGTCTGGAGAGAAATAGCACAAACACTGGACAAGGATGAAACTTTGTAGTGCGCATGTTTCGAGCACCGGTTTGCACACATTATCAAATTAAGTAGCCTATACTTTGAAAGGTTATGTGTTCAGCTATGCATATGCTAAGCATTTGCATCAAAAATATATACTGCAGGCTTTACTGTAAAGACCCAATTAAATGGCTTGATAATCACAGTTTTCCTTTCATTGTTGATATTTTTCCTATTTTAGCAACTCCGTATGCTCGGCTCGCACATGCACCTTGAATTTTTTTGCGCTAATTCGTTTGTCCACAAGATGGTAGCACTGGTGCCACCATTGTTTCACAGTTGAAAAAGAAACGACTGAAACCACAACAAACTACTGGAGATGCAACAACAATAAACGCGCCCGCATTGACAAGTGATTGTGTAAAGGGGTAACGAGAAATACACAACTCTAATTTTAATGAGTACAAAGAAATGCATTGGTCATGACATCTGGAGAGAAATAGCGCAAACGCTAAACAAGGATGCATTTCTTGTGCATGTGTTGAGCGCCTGTGTTTGTGCACAATATCAAATAAAGTATACGTTGAAAGGCTATGCATTCAACTGTACACATATGCTAAGCGTTTGCGTCAAAACTTAAGTATACTTCAGGTTTTACAATAAAAACCCAGTTAAAACCCCAATTATATGGTGTAACCAGCACATTTTTCCTTTCATCGTTGACATTTCTTTGAAACAGGAATTTGGCTTATAACCATTAGCCATTTTTGTTTACATCACATCTATGAAATATTATTAGCTACTTGTTATTGCTAGTCCGTTACAGACGGTGTTGGGGGAGTAACATACTCTAGAGAGCATTGTCATTGGTCAAAAGTTGGGACATGCCGATGACATGCCCATTGACAAAAAAGATAACCTAAACATGGCCAGATTCCTGACAGGGTACTATTTGTCTTGGATCGGCTATCTATCGGACCTTGTTTAGTGTCTATGCTTTGGATTGGTTTGACCCTTTATTTGTGTTATTTTATATATGAAACATCCTTAGCCAGAAATCTTGCTGATGCATCGCTGCTGCGGGATGGAGATGCCATCCAAATAAATCACCATTTGATTCATAATGTGTAGAGACAGTAATAATTCTCTCCACACACCCACCAGACACAATCTCTCTGCTTTCTCAGCACCGCATTCATTCAGTGATCATCTGCTGAGGAAACATTCAATCAGAGCCACACTACAGCTGACAGAGAGCGCCGTCCCACCCTGCCCTTGGGTTTTACAACGTTTTTGTTTGTTAAAGCTGCAGAAAATTAGACATGTTAGGCCATGTGTTTGTGGCAGAGTAGGACACAGATGTGTTCTCACTAAGGTATTTTTAAGAAAGAGCCGTTGTTGTGTCTATATGGGTGCTGAAGATGACATTCACCATGGGAAATATACACCTCAACAGCTGCAACAGAAAACAGTGTCTGTACTACATGTGATAGGCAACAATGGCCTATTGTGTGGGTTAATATTGTATTAAGTAAATATGCCATTGCTTAGATGCCAAAATGTTTGCTTATAGAAATGGATTTGATTTAGCCATATTGTGAAGACAAAACAAAAACTATCAATAATGAGCTTTTCAAAGACATTTTTACATATGAGGAATTTTTTCCACCTTCTTCTGAGTTGCTATATTGTGGCTAATATTTGGACGATTACCAAGCTAGGTGTTTGCTAGGGTGTTGCTAGACATTTGTTAGTTTAGCTAAGGAGTTATGTCTTCATAGGCAGTTGTGAGGTTGTTAGTTGGACATTGCTAAGGCTGTTGTTGTGGGTTATTTGATAGTGTTGCTATGTGGTTTTGGGTCTCTGGTAATGTGGTTGATAGGGTGTTCTGGATAGTTGCTAGGTGGTTGCTGGGGTGTTTCGTCTTCCAGGCAAAAAACAAATCTGGATGGTTTGGAAAAAGGGGTGGACGATATACCGGTAGACATGATTAACTGGTAAAAAATTGTTAACCGGTAGAGATTTTCGACTATTGTCTCTCGCGGGTTACATACACACTATCAAAATGCCCATCTTTGCAAGTATCCTCGTAAACACAGTAATTTAGGTCTTAAGTAAAAGCAAACAGCTGAGAAAGAAAACACGTTTATGTGTCCAGGCAGCTCTTAAAGTGGCAGCAGTCTAATATTTCTGCTGTCAAAAGAGAGAAAATCTCTCATTGCTCTTGACTAAATCACACTAGTAACTTTAATAATAAGAAATATATATTTAATTTACACAGTGAACAATATGCAGTGCTTTTATACATTTAATTACTTTCTACAATATATGTAGCATTCCTTATTTATTTGTTCTACTGTAGTTTTTTGTCCTACTGCTTATTAGTTTCTTATTCTTATTTAATCACTGACTGTTTACTTGTCTTCAGTAAGCTCAAGGTTTGTTTTTTTTTCAATTTAGACTAGTATTAGTTTTTTGTGATACTGACACTGGTGACAAGAACTGTTGTCAAACATTTTTATATCATAAAGACCTTATTTAAAGCAAAAACAACTATATCAAGATATATATTGTTACCGTGAAATAAAATTACTCATATCCTGGATTTAAGATTTTGGTCATATCGCCCACCCCATTTGGAAAATATTAGCAGATTTGCACAGTTTAAGGTATCATTCATGGCTGTTGCACAGCAAGTTTAGTACTTCAATAGATTAAGCAATAGACATAGTCATCAAGTGTAATGTCAGCGTTGCCTCAATTATTTGCACTTTTACACTTGTGTATTAAACAGCAGAACTGCAAACAGAGAGTGTGTCTCTCTTCCCTTGAGGGGCATGATGACATTTACATGCTACATTCTACAGATGTGTGTTTGTGCTCGTGTGAAACTTTTCTATCTGTCTGTAGAGGCTCACTCCTCTTGCTATCTAAGACTTTTACAATGACTTATTAATGATAATAGTGCACAGTAGTGGTTTCGATAAGAACAACTGGCTAATAACATCTGCTAATGTTAAGAGAGAGCACCACGCCTGCACAATAACAGTGCGCTTGTTCCTCAGGACGTATTCTCAACAGCCTGCAAAACATAAAGAGGATGATGAAAGAGAGGAATGGGATAATTCCAGTAATCATAGCTTTCGGAGGACGCGCTCAGAAGGGAGGAGACAGGGAAGTTTTAGATGTGTCTGGGGTGGGTCTCCATTTCTGAAGCAGTGGGTCTGGACATGTGCAAGTGATTGTATGTGAGAGATGGAAGTTAACGGATCCAAGCGTGTGGCGGCTATCCACCCTAATCTTAAACGCAAGCCTGCTGTGAGTCAAGTCGCAATGCCAAAATATATCTTTTTTTGTTCTAACATGAATGCAGTGAACTTAAGTCCAAACTGTCCGACTAGCCCAATGCGTCTGGCACCTGTTGATTCCTCTGCGATTCGTCTTTCACGTCTAGTGCTTTGTTGTCATGGTAACCGCGGGCTGCGTTGAGAAGTGTACCCTGAGGCCACGGACTTGATTTAGTAAGATCGAGCCTGTTAGAGGTACGGGAGACAAAAGAAGATTTGTTTTACTCTCCGCTCTCTGCTGCACGCGAGCCAACAAGGTAACATTCCTCCGTTTTCAGTATGGATGGGAATGGGGAGGAAGAATGCTTCAGAGTTGGTTTCTTTTAGATTTCGCTTTATTCTCTTTCTTGATGTTAAAAATAGTTGGGTGAATGTTACGAAAATGTCTCACCCCAAATCAAAATTAGAAAATATGTTTTTGAAGATGTTTTGCATGCAGAAATATATATATTTACATTACAATAATGACAATTTATAAAGGAAACAAATGCCATTGTGGCATTTTTCCTATGAAAATGCATTTAAAAATGTAGGGCAAAATATGACCCTGGCGTGTACTTGGAAAAAATGCTGCTCCTCTCACTTTAATTTTCTCCATTCTCTTTTAAACATGACTTTAAGGCCTGAAGATAGAGCATCCATCACTTGGTATTTGGCAGCTGCTAAATGGTCTGCTTAGTAGCTTAGTACTGCTATTAAATGTTTTCATAAGTTAATGCGGTAGACTTTACCATAGAATTTCCTCACAAAGGGTGTAATATTCAACAATCAAAGTGCACAGAACCAACATGTTTCGCTTATAATAATCTCATAAACAGCAGTTCATTCAGTATCTGCATGGCTGAAACATTCGAAAACTACACCTTACCTTAGCAGCGCCATCTGTTCCTGCTGTGGGGCTTCAAAGTGGAGTCAGACACACATGCAAGCACATGCCGTCTCTGAACAACTACATTCTGCCTGTCTGTTCCCTTAAGCATCCATCTGCGAGAACGCCTTTGAAGAGAGCCAGCAGTGCATTTAATTGGAGCAGAGCTGAGTCCATCAACCTCCTGCTAATAATAACTCTTGAAATTTGCTTACCCACTGGTCCCGATGTTCAATCACAATTTCATGTCTCATGGCTGAAAATCCTGCAGGATTTGTGTAATCAGGTAGAAACAACTAAAGTAGAAAATAGCTGGAGTTTTCTTCATGGATGTATTTTGGACCTTATTTGATGAGTTTAGATGGGCAGTTTGGTCATTTTGTCTACTCAAGTTCTCAAATCAACTCCATAGATGATTTTTAACTAAGTACTTGAGTACTTAAAAGTTGGGACTGGGGATTCCTGTGAAATGTTTGGTTAACAATTCTATGCACATGTCTGTCACATGGATGTCTTCAGCCACACTATATTGCATCTTGTAGACTTGTACCATCACATTTAGAATCAGACATGTAAGTTTAACTGAAAACGATGAGGGGTTTTTGATTGTCCTCACTTTTCGCTCTATGTTTGTAATGTAATCTGTGAAGACAAATTTGCATTAAATTGTCACTACTGCTCTTTTGTCATTTCAGAATCCAGACATTACCATGCATTTCTGATGTAAGCTGATCTGTGTTCAGTGTCTCTGATGGAGCTGAAAGTTTGGGTGGATGGAGTTGTACGAGTGGTTTGCGGCTTGTCAGAAGAGACATCATGTCAGGACGTAGTCATTGCACTCGCCCAAGCCATTGGTAAGTACCTCTGAGAAGGAACTTTAGGAGGTGAGGTTAAACCATGGTTTTTTCAATCCGACCCTGGAGGGACACTGCTTTGCAGAGTTTAAAGTGCCCCTATTATGCAATTTGTAAGGTTCCTAATATTGTTTTGGGAGTCTCCTACAATAGGTTTACATGCATGCAAGATTAAACAACACTTGTTTTCTCAAAATATGCATTTAATTTCACCTAATTTTCCAATGATTCTCAAATGATTAATTCAAGCAGTTCTAAGTTTCAGTGTCTCTAAACCCCTCTGATTGGTCAGATGGCCCAGTCTGTTGTGATTGGTCTACTGCGTACAGTGCGTGTCGGAAACGATACGCCCATTGCCAAGGTTGCGTATTTTGAATGCTCAAAATAAAATATAAACATCTATTATTTTTCATACAGTTTGTGATTCAGTGGAGCCAGCTGGTTCAAATAAACTGGGTACTGAGCCATCTTTCAAGTGAATCCCGCAATAAACTCCCCAAGATTAGAGAAGCAGTCATCATTTAAATTATGAGTTTGAGGTTGGGTCAAGTTGTTTGCGGCCGGCCAGCATAGAACATAGGCACGCATTATGACTTGTAGTCGTCACAGATGTAGGACTAACGACTCATTTACACTTTTCTGAGTCGATTCTTTCTTTTGGGAGACAATAACTTCATTTCTCGTTTAACTTTGCAGATCGTTTGCTTTCACATACAGCTACATTACACACTGCATGAAAGGCAATATTCAAAATGGCATAATAGGGGCACTTTAACTCTAAACCTAATCAAAAACCCCTAAGCAAGCTTATCAGGGTCTTCACAGTTACTAAAAAATTACAGGAAAGTAAGCTTGATAAGGGTTCAAGTTAAACTCTGCAAGGCAGTGGCCCTCCAGGGTCAGATTTGAGGAACCTTGGGTTAGTTGTTTAAAGATCTGGGCTAGTAACCAGTAGGTTGTAGGTTAGAGGTCCACAAAGTGGTGGTCCATGAGCCCTTGCCATAATGGCCTTCAGTAAAACACTTTAAATAACCTTAGGACAGTTCCCCTAGATCCAGGGGGATTGTCCATGTAATAAGAATACAAATAAGGTACAACACATTTTTGGACTCTAACTACCCCTGTGTTCCCTTCAGGCCAGACGGGTCGTTATGTTCTCATTCAGAGACTGAGGGACACCGAGCGCCAACTACTGGCCAATGAGCGCCCACTGGAGTCCCTGGCCAAACTGGGACAACACAGCAGCGAGGTGCAGTTCTTCCTGCGGCGGACCGGTCCCAGTAGCAGTGAAGAGCAAAGTCTGCACAGCCGCACCCTCCCTCACTCCAAGCCTTCCACATCAGAAACCAAACGGGGTTTGCCGAAGAAATCTTTCACCTTCAACTTGGGCCCCTCCAGTTCTCCCCGTGTGAAAACTAAGGACTCCCGTAAAACACCCTCTCCTGAACAGAGGGCGTCCCCAGTTCCACACGCGCAGTACCTTCCAGGTCCATCTAAAGAGGAGGTGCTCCGGCATGTTCTCCAGCAGCGGGAGCAGCTACATGCCCCCGAGTCTCAGCTGTTGGATGTGGACAAGAAATGCGAGACTTGGGAAGAGTCGTCTGCTGAGGAGTCACCCCTGCAGGCAGAGATGGATGTTTTGGAGAAGACCCTGTGGAGGAACCAGCAGGAGTTGGTGGACGAGGAGTTCTGGGAGGAGGAACTAAGGATAGAGACTGAAAGGGAGCGTGAGATGAAGCGGGGGTTAGGAGAGCTGCATGCTAAACTGGATAATTGCGGGCAAAAGTTGCACGAATTCAACACTCGCGCCATGCAGCTTGAGGAGGACATTCAGAGAGAAATGCTACAGGCGGACAACTTGCCCGCGCAGTCCGATTCAAAAGACTCTTTGGGGGTAGTCGAGGCAGATCTTCAAAGTCGACAAAAGCAGGGGGAGGAATTGGAGGCGGAGCTTTTAGAGCTTGAGAAGGCTTTGGGGAGGGCGGAGACTCTGCTGAAGGTAAGCAGAGAGAGCGTGGCTCTAGAGAGAGGCTTGTAGCTGTTGGCTGCAAATGTTGGAGGGTATTACGGTACCCTCTGCGGAGGTGCATGATCAATGAACTGAAAATTTGGAAGCGAACAAAGGAACCCATCTTTTAAAAGTATTTCACACTCAGAACTTGTGAATTCTGCCTTTTCTGTGTACAGAAACAAATGTTTTTATTTGGACACGTATACATTTCTTTTATTTCCTGTGCATTTTATGCCTTGAAAGGACAAAATAAAGGCGTATACCTATTGAGCAAGTTTCTTTTCCTGCTGGGCATGCATGAATAGTACATAATTATGCACCAGCCTCAGTTTTATAACAGCATTTCAATATTTCAGTATTCCAGTGACTTAAATCAAAGACTTGCAAGTCTGTGAAACTGATCTATACTATTTTATACCACAGTGCCACTCAAAAGTCTTCCTTTATGTGTTCTTCCAGAAAACAAGGAAATCAACCATGACTAACCGCGTCTTACATAATAATAATCTACTCCGTTTAGACAAGTCATGCATGCAAATTAGGTTGATCTTCATCCTTCAACAAAGCATTGTGAATTATCATAGTTTTCAAATTGCAACTCAGGTGATTACTTCACATACTTTGTGGTTACCATTGACTTGTCTGTATTTGAATTTGGCTTGTCTTGTTAAACAAATTAAACCTACAGCCAGAAAGGTGTCAAAGGTACCCATAGAGAACAAATCCCAAGATTACTGTAATCAGAGCCACAGGGCAGATTTACTGCCTTGGCTGTTGTTGCTGTTAAAACATGGCGCCACCTTGAGACTACTGACGGAATTACACCAAAGAAGAAAACAAAAAGATATGAAATTGTTGGTTATGTTGTATTCAGACAACACACACAATTAAAGGTTTACAGGGAGTGTTTAAAGGTACTAATTAAAGCATTGCTGCTAAAATTTATAAATACAAATATATTCTAAAACGTATACAATAGTAAGTTGTTGGCCACATACTACAATGCAAAAAAGTATAGTGTTTAATCATTTGTATTCATAATTAAACTGTTTTTTATTCTAGTATGCAGGCTGTTTGTGATTGTCTGCTCTCTCTGTGTGTAGGCTAAGCAGGAGGAAGTGGAGGAGTTGAATAAGGAGCTGAGACAGTGCAATTTACAACAGTTTATCCAACAGGCTGGAGCCCTGCCTACTCATCCTCAACCCCGCACAGACCTCAGTGAACACCCAGAGCAACTGGACCTGACTCAACAACAGCAGGACAAACACAAAGACAGTGGTATGGCCTCCCCACAAACACACACACAAACGAACACGCACTAAATCTACTGCAGGTGCACATACCTAACGGAGTAGAGAAAAATCAATGAATAATGGAATACTAACATAATGTTTACTGCATTCTACACAGTATATTCTGTATACTGCCAACTAGTTCTAGTTTTATTTTGTGTAGTACCATAGTGTTAAGGCTAGGGTTACACATACTCACACATTTTCAGTATACTTCAAATAACCAAATGATTTACTACATTTGCTATAATGTGCAGTATACAGAATACACTCAGTGGTATACTGTATCCCACAATGCAATGTGCTAGACTTGACCCTCCATTTTTGATGTAAAAAAATGAACTGCAAACATATGATCATGCAGGTTTACAATGGTAGACTTTAAAACAGCATGCTACCATACTAGGGCTGCACGATAAATCGCATGCGATATTTAACGCGCATCTTATCAGTAAAGCTGGTTCTGTAATCAGCGGTAAATCTCCATCATGCGCGTTAAATATCGCATGCGATTTATCGTGCAGCCCTATACCATACTATTCTTACCATTTCTAGTAGTATGCTACAGTATAACCTGCACATTTTAAGATTTTTAAAGCAAAACTGCACTAAAAGTGAACAATAATCACTTGATAACTGGATGTTTGCTAAATTTAGAGGAAACATTTAACGTGAAGAGGTGAAGTGACATTATAGCATACTACTGTTTCAAATGTTTATACTTGCATAACACATAATGTTTCACATGCCATTTTTAAGTAGTAGTCAGTACACAGTATATACTGCCAGTATGCAGTATACAATGCTAAATTGTCGCACTTTATCAAATGACCGCACTGTTTGTTTATGCATATTTATTTCCAGGCTTAAGGTCTTATGGGTTTGGAACGACATGAGGGTGAGTAATTAATGATATAATTTTCATTTTTGGGAAGGAGATGCTAAACATCTCAGCTCATTTCTTACACCGGAAATAGAAAGTGCATGGCATTGTGGGATACAATATACCTTGTAGTGCTTTCTGGTTGTATACTGCATTTTATTTCATGCATACACATCGCATACTGAAAAAATACTATATGCTTATTATATGGCTAGTACAGATATTTGTGTTTATATGGGCTTATGTTGTTGTTGATGCATATTTTGCTCCATATTTCCCACAGATTCGCCCCCACGTCCCACTGCCAAGCAGTTCCTGGGTCACCCGCGCAACCTGCAGCACCCCCTGGTGTCCAGCCTGAACCCTGAGGGTGTGTATGTGTGACAGATGCTGCCGCTGCTGCTTCCCTGCCTGCGACCCCAGCTGCCGCACACACGCCCGTGGCGGCAGCCCTTTCTGCCCTTTCTGGCCTGCTTGGTGGCCCTCCTTATCCGCCCTCTTCTGAACAACATGCCCGATTATTGTAGCTATTGTAGCAAAAGGCATTGCGTCAACTAATTTACGCAACATTACCATATATTTCAATCCAAAACTATATTTTCAGTCGCTGTATATTAGTGCTACTAATTTTGTCTGTAAATATAGATGTTACATATTACAATGCTATGAAGTCAGTATGTAGTGCCTTTCAAAAAGAAGTGTTACCACAACCTGTGCTCTTCAACACTTTAGTTTAAGGGGTAGTGGGTTGGTTTCAAATTACATCTTGACAAGCTGCTAAAAACTGTTGTTGTGGGAGTCGAGATATTTTTGCTTACAAAGATGTAATTTGACTTCAAATTTGATGCAAACTAAAGTGTTTCTGCCATGTTCCCTTGAGTTCTACACGCTTTTTCTTCTTTACGCTCTTCTGTCCGAGTTTGGTGTCCTTATGTCCTACCAGCTGTTTTGCTGATTGATAGTGCAGCTGTGTGTGTGTGTGTGTGTGTGTGTGTATGTGTG